TATTTTGCTTCTGATTTCCTTGAACACACATGCATACAGACTTTTTATTCTCTTTGGTACCTCTTGAATTCACAAAAGCATTACAAAGTTCTAATGATAATTTCTAATAATTTCCAGCTATATATAATAATATGATATTATTAAAATATGTGTTGGTGTATATATGAGTATGTCTGTTTCAGAAGGAATGGCAAATATTCAAAAGTGTAGAGCAAAAATTCTGGAATGGACAAATTTTTAGACACCAGATGTAAGAAAATCTGGCTGACATACAAATATCCTTATTGGCTTAATATAAAATTTATATACAAAACTTCAAGAGTCAGCAAACAAGAACAGCTCGTTATAGAAAATCTATACCAGGCATGTCAAACTGCCGGCCCACGCCCACCCCATTGCCGGCAATGGGGAAAAAGTTGCGATACGTCGTGTGATGTCACATGACTCACAAATTTGACATGCCTGATCTATACAGTGGGTTCACAGCATCCTTGTGTTTAAGACTGGGAACTTTTGAGCTATGTGCCGTATCATATACTCCCAGAACTGTAGAGCCCTTTGGAGTATGCTTTGTATGGAAAGGGTCTCAAGTTTACTACTTACACTTCTTAACTAAGGTGCTAGAGAGAAAATCTGAATACTTCTACATATTTATGATATTTGAACAATATGAAAAAAGTCTTATTCAGCATTTTAAGAGCTCCAAGGCAGGTAGATAAATTGAATCTGTAGATAAAATAAAATGCTATGCTTTAGACTTCTGCAATCTTCTGTCCATCCTAAGATTTTGAAGGTGCATGAAATGCTATAAAAGACTCCAGTCAGTATTGGAATTTTGTTGAGTATGTTTAGAGTTCAGTATGTGGATAAAATTACAAGCTACAGTATAGAATGCAAACAATTGCGAAAAAAGTAGCTTTTTTTTACAACTATGAAAATGAACACAAAATTGACAAGGACTGAGCTCAAATGAATGAGCCCTTTCAAATTCCTTTAAGTACTGCAGAAAATTAGTTTCCTTACATAAAAATAGAGGAGATGAGCTGGAAGGCTGCACCCAACATTCGTATCTGTTTGTTGAGTTGAAGGAGAATGTCTAAAGAGAGAAACCTACCATAATATGGCTTTTAATCAAAAAAGATTTCTATTAATTAACATTCAGATGAATGTTAATATAAGTGATGTTGCTCTATCATCCAAGTCAGTGTGATCAATTTTAGCCAATTTTTCATTAAAGCTCTTTAATGTTGCACACACATTTTGTGTGCATATCCATGTAAATTAACTGAGAGTGAAATTAAGACAGGTGCATTCACACATACAGCAAAATCATTATAATCTATTAAATATTTTCCAAAGTCAATTTAAAAATTTGCCTGTTTTATTACTTTCTATTAATTCTGGTACAAAGATTTATCTTCTCTTTATTTCCCCAATAGTCTTCACCCAGTTACATGTGGAAGAAGAAGATTTATTTATCTACTTTCATTCTTGTTAAACATCCAAATACTATATACAGAATATGTTCCACTTGACTGGGGGAGGGGAAGCTAACATTATAAAATCTATGACAGACCATTCAAAAAGCACTTAAATGACTGTGTTACTGTCATTGCCCCATTCCAAAATCCAGGAGCAACTAGAAGCAAATAAAAAATACTTTTATCTAAAGAAATAATATTGTCCATATAATGTAATAGTGCTTAACATTCAATCACATTTCAGCTTGTCCAATATACATAGCCCAGAAATATACATGTGAACACATACACTGCATTCTGTCAGTCTTAGCATCTACCTCAACCCTGAAAAATAACAAAAATCCCATCCATGTTTTTCTCAATATTAATTAAGATAATCTGTAGCACTTGCATTTGGAATTATGGTAAAGAGAAGGTTTTCTGACTTTCTACAAAGCTACGAGAATGGTGCTTTTTATTTTTTGTAAGGTGCAGACATCTATACATCTTATAAACATTTTGAACCTATTTTGTTCAGTTCTCTCTTTTACATGCAATATTTTTTAATGATAGTGAGACTAGCTTTTACTTATCTTTTTAAAAAGTACCCCATAAAAATCTTCTGTTGCTAACTGAATTTGTTTTGGCATGCAGTGAATCCAATGCACCTGCAGAGAGAATGTTCTCAATAATGGATGACATCTGGTTGAAGACAAAAGCAGAATGTCAGTAGTTCTACTAAAAGGGTATGGCAGTGGTTAGAGCCAATCTAACTGGCAACTGCTCAGAGGTCTCTGAATAACTATTTGGCAGTATGCTGCTTCTTTAGAAAACAAATTCTTACCAACTCTAAGCCCACGAAGATAACATTGGTTTAGGTCATTATACTAGAAATTTAGGTTAAAGCATTGAGACACAAGCATTGAGATCTTTGGGATCATTTAATTTGCAGGTATATATTCCAAAAACATAACAGTGATATTTTCACATTGCTAGCTTTGCATCTTCCTATGCATAATATGAAAATGAGAAGTCCTCTTGTGACTGCAGCTAACATTTTAAAAACAGAGAGAAAAAGAAGAGAAAAACTGATACAGAAGACATGAAAATGGTGCTCCTTTTAAAAGCTGCTACCTACCTATAGCAACTGTTTCAATATAAATAAGGTCAGGCATGGAAAGACGGTGAATGTCAGATAATACCATTTCCTACAACTTGCATTTAAACGAAATGCAAAATAAATAAAAAAAGTGAAAGGTGGGAGTTAGAGTGTTATTTGCTGTACTTATTATTTTTCAACTATTATTCCATTTTATACTAGTGTTTCAGGTAGATAAGATTTTTTTAAAAAAATTAATGAATTAATTCTTACATTTGAATGTGTTATGTATATATTTAGTGCAGAATATGAATGAAAAAAGGAACACAACAAAATTATTTATGTCCATCTGAGAATATGTATTAAATAAGTACTCAGATTGGAATAAATATAGACAATCATAAAAATAAACAAACAGAATTAAGCATATTCTCACTCACTGCCATCCTATGTTTTCTGGATATGGTGCATATACTGTATGATCAGATGAACGGCTGATATTTTCAAGATAATAATTGATTAAATAACCAATAGCATGTGTCCTCTGTTTTCCTTCCTTAAATACAAGTATCTCACATTATATGATAAAGCTGAAATAGATTTTCTTCTGTAACATTATTAATGATATAGAAACACCATACTGAAAGTATATATTTTGAGGTTAACAGGGGACTTTATATCCAACATATCCATGAATAGGAGAAAAACATTTTCATAGATGAGTTTGGGGTTAGGTTTTTCTTCTGCTTCTCTCCACTTGCAGAACCTTGTTTCAAGGTCTTGCCAGAAGAAAAGCAGCCAAATAGTTTGCAGAGCCAAAGAGTAGAAATTGAAAAAAGGAGAATTCCTTCAACATCATCTCCTTTGCTTTACTCATGGAAAACAATATCAATTATATTTTGCTTTCTATCCAAGACTGGGGAAATGCTATAACTTCTGACCTATAGTGTACCACTTCTGAAGTGATGCTTATTCCTTTTTAATCATTCAATTGTCCTGTAGATAGTCTTGAACAAAAAGTTTAATTTTTCCTTATGTTTTTTTTTCTTGCTTTGGTTCCATGCCTCTGTTATGTATTACATTCCTGGTCTCGGCCCAAACCTTTCCCTCACCATCTTTGTCTGTTCTACTTTTCATAAATATGCTTTTATCTTTGGGGAACAAGCAACATATTCAATGTTTTCAACTATAATTGACATAATTTCCATTGGACATGGTGGATTTCTGTCTCCTCCTATTATTTCCTCAAGTATTTGTCTCTATCCTATAAATGTCCACCAGGCTCCTACACTTAGTTAAATCCCTAGTCTGTAATCTACTTTTGAGTTCTTTATTCTTAGCATCATTTCTTTGGGATTTCCTGCAAATTGGTTTTCAATTCAATCCTTCTATTTGCCTATGCAGTTAATCTTAATCCTTACCACATCTACAGTGGTGCAAACACAGGCTGCCCATCCAACAATAAAATAAATTTTTGCATGACATGTTAATCTTAGTCAAAACTGCTTTTACACTTCCTTTACAGATACAGAACTGTTTGCTAACATTGTACTGCTGACATTTCAATTCCTGTAGCAGTTAGTTAGAATGCCTGGGAACTTTCTTTCATATCTGTTAATCAATGCCAGACTTTTCATTTTACAAAGTCCCCTGCATAGATAGGTCACAAAAAAAGATTTAAATAGTTGTGTATAAAGCGAAACATCTATTTGGCTGGCAAAGTTACATTAGGATTAAAAGAAAAACTGAGTAACAAGGCTAAGCTTCTACTGACATTTTGGCATTGATGTAAAGAACTTGTTTGCAAATTAATTCCAAGGCCTATTAAGATAACTAAAATATTAAGAGGAATAGAAACTTGCGTGCAAAAAAACCTTATATGAACTAGCAATTCTGGAGATTTTGTCCAAGCTAGTGAATATTGTCTCACCCAATAAATAAAAGCAACAGATAAGATATTTATTAAACTATTCAGAGATTAACAAATGTGTGTGTGTGTGTGTGTATGTATGTTTGTGTGTGTGTGTGTGTATGTATGTATGTATGTTAGTTCTCAAGGCAAGGTGTAGAATAAACCTTGTCATTTGCAAAATGCAGCAAATCCTGTCATTGTACAAATTGTACACACATTTCTAGTAAAAATGTATTTTTATATCAGCCAAGAAAGTATATTTAATTTAGAAATAAAAATCCATTTTTGAAACTGTCAAGAAGTCACAAAATCTGAGCCCAGACAGGAAGCATACTGTTTAAAAAGCTGATAGACATAAACTTTTCACCTGCCTAGTTAGAGCTTTTCTATAAATCCCCTCCACCAGAAAATCCCTCATATGTTAAACAATCTTCTGTTATTTTTAATGCTTGATCTATTATTTTCTGTTATTTTAAAATCTGAAAGTTTGAACCCAGAACCAACTATTCATTTAAAATTGGAAACTCACCTTGGCATGCAAACTTCAATTCCTTAGCATCTGTAACAGTGATCCTTTTATCTGGCCTATTTTTTTCAAATCGACGATGGCTTCGCCTTTTCTTGGTCTCACCCCAAAGATTTGATCCTCCATGCATGCTTGGAATGTTCAAAATAGCAATTCCTTCCAGAGAAATATTATTCAGATCTATCTGAATTCCATCACACTGCCAAAGAAAAAGAGACAGAGATGGAGAGAATCAAGATAAGATAAGATAGGAAGAAATCAATGAGAGATTAAAGGATATCAGCATCTTTCTTATTTACATCATTTTACTAAAATATATTTCCTGTATTAATTTTCTATATCTGATTATTTGGCAAAATAGCAGAGATTCCAGAATCCTGGAGTGAATCCTGGATAGGGAGGCTCTCTGCTTGGTCACTCATGACCTAGTCATCTCCTGTTTGGATTCTACATTGCCATGTAGAGGCAATGCTCTTTACATGAACCACAGAAACTTCAGCTGGTACAAAATGCAGCTGCCTGGGCATTTTGGGTGTCCAAAGAATGGCGCATATGATTCCTTTTTTGTGGAAGCTACATTGGGTGCTGCTCTACTTCCAGGTCCAATTCAAGTTTTTGGTTGTGATCTTCAAAGCCCTACATGGCATGAGGCTAGGTTATTAATTTTTTTAATGGACCCATCTTGATCCCCTGGAGTGCACTGGCTCATGTGGTTAGGACACTAGGTTGAATGTCAGGAAACTCATGTTTGAGACCCGAGTGCTGCTGTATGGTGGGGTGAGCTCCTGTAATTTGCTCCAGTTCCTTGACAGGGACATGAAAGGAGCCCCTATGATGTCCCTTGGGCAACAGATGTTACTGGCTAATCCTTTCAACATGGAAGCACCTTAAACAGTACCTTTGTGGTCACAGTCATTTTTAATCTCCTACACTACCTTTCTGCAATTTAGTGAGTTTCATAGTTCAGACCTTAATTCCTACCAACTATGGGAAGGCTTATTTGAACTTATTTGACCTTATTTCTTTTCTACTTGTTTGGGGTATTATTGATCTAGGATGTCATTCATTCATTCATTCATTCATTCATTCAATTTATATAACTACTTATCTCATGTACAGTATGGGGGTGTAAAATAAGAACAGATCATAAAAACAGACATTAATGTATTATGATTCTTGTCCAGCTACATAAACATCCATATGATATACATGAAGTTCAGGAACAAAATATAAACTTATTATAGATAATAGATGAATATGGAATAGTCTTTTAGTAAGCATTAATAGCTGGCATTTAGAATATTAATATCTTGGAGGTAATATAGACTAGTTAGGTGCTTTCCAGATGCTGCTTGACTTTACCTCCTACAGCATGGGAAGATGATTCCAAGAGGCTAGATTTTTTTCAGTACTGATAAGTAAGCTTGATCCTCACAATGCTATTGGTCTTGCCAATTAGAGATGATAGGACTGATATCCTACAGCCTCTGTAAGGCTGCTAGTTTCTTTAATCTTTAATAATTCCACTATTTCAATATCATAGTAACAGTTAATCATTTTAATATGCTTTTAATAATCAAAGTTTAAATTTGCACACAAAGTTTAAATCTAAATACAATATTTATTATTTATTCCTAATAACTGCAGTAATAAAGACAGGAATTACATGGTAGCAGTATTGATAACAAAATCTGTAAAGTTGTATAGTGGAGGCATATGTGGATATGTGTGTGTGCTTAGTAACAGGTTTTTTATTAGAATCAAACTTTTACATGTCATATAGGTGTTAAGTATTAAGAGGATTTCTTTTTACTAAAAATTCTGCTCATGTGTATACTCACTTACTGCTATACATTCTTGATAAACAGATATTAATTTCATAATTAAAAGTAATCTTGTGTAAATAGCCTGCAGGCCTCAATGAATCAAACACATACTGTGTGTCAGCCCTCCCACTGTCTTCAAGTGGAATGTACTGGCTGGATAATTAGATAGTACATATTTTTTAACCTTATTTGCATGCATATTATATCTTTTGCACACTGACAAGCAGCAGTAACAACAAAAGTCAGATTACCACAGGGAATTCCCACAAAGAAGTCTTCATTCCTTATAATTTGCAGCCTAAATTAAAATAATTTGATCTTTGACAAGGATGAAATGTCAAGCCGAAGGGGGTCCTCTACAAGCCACAGCCTGTGGCTTCAGAAATCTGCCTAATTTATGTCAGTCACTTCTTAATACATATTTAAGTATTACACGAAAAAGATGATAAATATGCAATCTGACACCTTTGGTATTTCCCTGCTGTTAATTTATAAAGGTCTTGTGCCCCCCCTCCATCTGACTAAAATTATTTAAATAAAGGGAGAATTGTGATATAAGAAGTGCAGAGAGCGTTTTCACTCAATATCAAACACAGCAGGCAGTACACTAAGACAATTATTTCACTAGGCCTCAGAATCATGCTGTGATGAGTTACTTTCAGAATTAGTAAAGAAGAATTTCTTTTGTTCAGTTATGGAAGAATTTCTGTACAAATCTTCATTTTGCTAACATTTCATAAGTAAATTATATATTTACTGAGTTTATTTTTGATATAAAGTATAGCAATTATTTTGCAAAGTGTTGGTAAATGATATAAATGTGACATCGTATACTTGTTTGTCCCTCCATATGTCCATCTTTTCCATTGTAAACAAAAATGTCTGTAGAAAATGATACATATTATATGATTTAAGCAACAGAAATGTAATGTATAACTGAAGATTATAAAATAGCTGAGAAACATGTAGTTCTTCAGATGTTGGACTGGGCTTCCATCATTCTAAAGGATTCATTATTCAAACCCAAGCTAATGGGGAAAGTTGCTCAACCACATATTGCCCATGCTTCTTATAAGGAAACCCTGCAGGATCACATTGACGTGAAATGAGTTTAGAGTTTATCACACAATGGACATTAGATTATTTAAAGAGCAATTTATACTATACTTGTTCACAAGTTGCTTCCTTGTAATATGTCTTTAACATGTGCAATATCATTTTTGTATTTTTTTTTTCAAAACAGTACTTAGTTCTCAAATTCATCTTATTTTAACAATGGAACTTTACATGCTTGCTTTTGGGAGGAAGAATGAATAAGTTTTCCAAATTAACGTGCATCACTGTTTGTGGCAGTTCTTTCAAAAAAAGGTTTGAATTTGCACTGATTCTTGAGAAGGCAACACATTAAGTTAAGCTTCAATTTCATTTTACTGAATTTCTGAAAAAGAATGTCCCGCAATATTTATGTTCCCTTCTTCCTTGCCAGCTCCCTCACTCAAAAAATGGTGATAATGAAAATGGGAAAGGAATACAAACTTATATTCTATTTCTGTAAGAGAAACTACAAGCTCTGGCAACTCAGGTTACTTCTCTATGGAATATCTTTGTATTCCTTCACTGCTTTCAGATAATCGCTAAATGTGTATTTTTAAAAAAGTCCCATAATCTAAAAATAGCTCTCTGGCAATATAGTCCCCTTTTGTGATACCTGTCTTCTAGTGAAGGTTTGCAATTATTGATATTTTTAATAAAACTATGGAATACATAAATACTCCTGTAGGAAAAAGTGTGCCAACTTTTCTCTGACTTTACCAAATATGGAACAGAAAATATTTTGCAAAGAGTAAAATATTTTTGTACATCTCAAATTTAAAAAGTAGCCTTAATGAGCACAGATGAACATCAGGCTAGATGCATAGGTCAGGCTTCCTCAATTGGAATATAAATTATACCTCCTCCCCCCTCCCCCTGCCTCTCAAATTCAAATATTCATATTTCAAGTTGTACAAGAATATCTCACTATTTAAATTACTTAAATCCAGCCATTTTAGAAAATGCGAAAACAGCTCTCCTTATTAATCCCAACTCTAACAGAAGTTGCCTCTCATCACTGCACTTCACCTCTTAATATATATTTAACATATGCACATATGTAGCTTCAATCCTTCATAGTCAATGAATTATGGTACAGTACAGTCAATTTCTTGTATTGACATGGAGTTTATTGCCATTAAAAATGAGTTTTATTATAACAAAAAACCTAAATGTCATTTTTTGTTTAATGTGAATGTGTGTATATATACACATAGATACTTATTGATATAACTATATATAGATTAAGTTTTCAACTCAATTTTAGTGACAGTGCTGACCTTCTGAAATGCTCAGCTACTAGAAATGAGGTTAGTCCCTACTTTAGCTAACTTCTAGAAGTATATGAAAAAGAGATTTGTTTTAAAGATATCAGGAATTTCATTTATTTTATATGTTTTAGGGGTTTTCCATTTTATTTCTATTGATGACTGTGGATGTTTTAATGATTTTATTTATTTTAATGTATTTTTGTAAATATTCAAACTGCAATGTGTCCCTTTCAAGAGTAGTGTTAGTTTGTTTATTTGTTTGTTTATTCATTGGATATCTTAGTTGGATTTCATATTACTTTGTTAGTTTCTATTCAGCCTACCTTTGCATTGTATCTTAACACTGATCTATGGCCTCCACAGAGAAGCTTTACATTAACATAGTTTTCTTACTTTTCTAACAATGAGCTATCATAAAATATATTTTAATCACATAATAATATGCATATTAAACAGCCCAAAGAAAAAGCAGGAAATTTGACTTAAACTTTACTACGTTTGAAATTCCTGGGTAGGAATTTGGGGACTTTTATTATTAAAGTTTCTAGAAGTTATTAGGGTGAAAAATGTTATTTTAAATAAGCTGCTCTAGAAATCAGCAAGAATATTATAGCAGATATGTCTGTGTTTATAAAAAATAGTTGAAATGAAGGTGATTGGTTTGGATTATATTTTTTATAGTTTTGTAAAAATGAAAACAAGCTAAAAGAAAGAATAAAAAGTAGAAAGAAGAAACTTTCAATTTCCTTTGAAATAAATTCAGTTACAAATACAATTACAATATTATCTATTACCCCATGTGTACAAAAACTCACTCCTTTGTACAATCTGTGTTATTTCTAAAATTCTGTCTGAATTTTATAACCTTTGAGGCTCTATTCATTTATAGATCTTCCTGATTTAAAATTAAAGAATGCATTTGGAGGTAAAATATGCATCTTTATTAAGTGATTTTTGTCAATGCAAAGAGCCAGTTTATCCTTACGCATATAGTAATAACAAGAATCTAAAAATTGTTAATCCTTTCATCAAAATTCATACAAATTTATCAAAATCTAATGGTAGAATTATGTAAAGAATCTCTTAAATATTCAATTTCATTAAATATTTATATCAAGATGTAACTATGTGTATATAGTTGAATGGTACCCCTAGTAAATATCATTTTATACTTTTGATGTTTTTAAAAGAAACTGAGTAATTACAGATATTATCCTGCGTTTTGACACCTGTAAAATCTTGAACAGTTGTGATCATATCTATAAGACTGCCTTCTCCATAAAGATCCATGTGTCTATTTGTCTCACATCCTGTGGACATTCACTTGATATCAACCAGCTATTCTTTAGAGAGACTCACCCCAGAGATAAAACAGATACCAACTTTGTTAATCATTAGTTGGTATTTAACATAACATTTGAGATCTTATGATAATCATGGGCATAATTATATTATTTTATATGGTAATTATGTTATGTGCTTTATTTTTTTGTATTTATATCTATTTTTTAATTTATGTACATGGTCTGGGATTGGATTGCATGGTACACACAATGTAAAATATTTAAAGTTAATAAATAAAAGTAGACAAATAGGATCAATAAAAAGATAAATAAGATGAATCTGTTTTTAACAATATGATGGAAAGAATTAAAATGAATCTTATTCCAATACTGAGGACTCAACAAAGAGAATTAAATTTAGTGGGACAGACAATAAAACTAAATGCATTTCACTGCCTAGCTGAATGTCTTAAACCTGGCATTCATTCCTATTTTTATTTTTAATTTGTAATTATTTTCTCCAGTTAGAATAGATCTATCATATTGGTTTTGATTAATATATACTGTAGTTCTATGTTAGCCAGATCTATGCACAGCAATTACTTTCTTACTTCTATTTCCAGAGATTCATGCAACTTTTTGCAGGTGGCAGAGAAAGTTTCAGAAGTGCCGAATTCAAAATACCAAAATTTATTCTTCATTCTGAAATATGAAGGGAAGAAAAAGGAAAGAAAGAAATATCAATAGCTGATCATTAAACAAGTCAGCATCTTGACTTCTATCATAAAGCATTGTAACATCTGACATCCATTCTGAAATGGATGAACTCATAATTTTCAAAAACATAAATGTAACTGTCAGGAGATATATCTCCCCGCCCCCCCAGGTACAAAACAAAATATTTTGTAGCAGAGATAGATTAGATTCTTTTGGCAACTGCTGATTAACCAAACTGATGCTTTTGAAGGTTACTATTTTATGTTTTATGTATTATACCATATAATTTTATTTCTTATACTGTCCAAAATTTAGTTGCAGGGCGTATCATCATAAGAGGGGTGGAGTAAAATGTAATTCCCTAAGCAAATGTTGTGATTTATTGTTTGTTATAGCAAGTATTTTAAAAAGAAAAAAAATCCCCTTTCTACATTTCCAAAAGATTGTTTGTAAAGAGCTATTGATTAGAAATTGAAATTCTGTAACAGAATTCAATCAGAGGGTACAAACCAGAAAAGTTTTAAAAGTTATAAACAATTGCTTATAAAATCCAATAGAAAACACATTGCATATTATTTTGCATTTAATATCTATTATATATATTTCAAATAGACTTTTACATAAGTCAATGACCAGTTGAAACCTTATTATTTGGCATTTGTCCTCCAATTACTTCCTAAATTTAAAATGCAATTTAGGTTTTAGTGAACTGATTATTGAACAGAAAGAACTTTATACAAATCCAGTTCATGAACAATTCTTTGTTCCTGCATGCATGTGCTATCCCAGTCTATGCATATGAAGTTAATATCACTAATCACAAACTGATGTATTAGATGTATTTCATGTTTCATACTGATTTCTATAGTTAAGGGTACTTCATGTGTTAATATTCTAATCACTGGTCTTGGTAAAGGCATGTATCATAGTACATCCTTGCTCTAATGCAATAGTTCTATACAATTCCTTCTGTTATTGCAAAATGAGCCCTCTTCCCCCACCTTGTGGCCCACAAATAATTGACCCAAACCTGGTTCATCTTTAGTTAAAATATTCACAAGAGTTTTTAGCCCATTCTCAGTAGACTTTGTGCTACCCAAGACATTCTCAAGTGATTCCAAAAAGCTGGATATGAATAGAAACAGCATACCAATAATGATTATAAGGGAAATTCAATCATTTTACGAATGACCTACTTTACTTCCCAGAAAATCAGATTCTTCAAATGAAGGGGTATATTCTCATTTACACATTCGTTTAAAAGCATGGAAAACACTTTTTTTTGTTAACTGAATATAATAGCGGCTTGTAACTTTTCTGCTGCTATACCCAGGAATCAAAAGCTAACTAGGAAAGTCCATTTAAGTAGCAAATAGCTCTAAACCAGTTGTCCAACTAAACCTTTGTTCTTCAGAGCTGACATTTTTCTTGTTAGTATTCCCACTTCACTAGAATTTTTTCTATGTTTGTAACTTTGTTGTTCTTTTTTTTTTTTAAAGGGGGCACTTAATAGAATATTTCTCCTCTAGATAATGACATTTTCATGGCCTTTTGAAATACAATAGAATTATGTATTTCTAGAGATTGTGTGATATGGAGTATTTCATTCCCATAGCTCACCATGATCTCTTTTTGATTTCTGAAATTTTGTAACTGAAATAGATTTGTACGAAGCTGTCCATTGTTAGGTTAATGTGTATAGTTTTCTTTATTTAATATCAATTAAGGGAAATACAACATATA